AATAAGCACTTTTCGCTCTTTCTAATACATTTCGTTGTTTTATTTCTAAAGGCTACAAATTGTTTGTGCGTCACGTTTCCCTAAATCCGATCGGAAAACCAATTTTTGCCCTACATGATGGAGCTAGAGAATGACTTGACCAAGAAAAAACTTCTTGCCCTATAATCGAGGCCTGCTATATCAATTCCATGATTAGATCACATCAAACGTCGTGCTCGGATTCACGTCAGAGTCTTTCTTTATGAAAATGAAAACATTATTGCGGCCTGGACATTCACCGTGCAGTGGAGTTAACGAGTCATTGGAGTCACTGCAATCTGTAGATCCCATTGATTCTTTTTCTGAGTGTTCTGCGGGAGAGTAGAAGCACGAGCACTATTTGTTGTAAATATCTTAGCAATATCAATTCGACAAAAGCAATGGAGTTCGAAAACGCTCCAAGTACCACATTTAGAGCACATGCATATTCACAGCTAAGAAAAATGTGGTCGACGAAACATTCAAACAACACATTTTTTTGTCTTTATAAAATAAATCTTATCACTTTTATTGTTCCAACAAACCACGCCTTATTATCCGAGAACATGTGTAGGACGTAACAATGCGTCGGTCGCTATTTAATGGAAGTTGTTGAACATTCGTACGAGGTCGCCCGTTCGTTCATCACGACAATGGGGAGGGGGGGGGGGGGGGTTCACAGGCGCAAGCACAGTTCTGGGGTCAAACGACACTCCATTGTAGGGCAGACACGTGCCAAAACAGGCCCCTCTGGTTAAAAAACGCGAAAGTACGCCACGTTCGAGGACACGAGATGCATATGCTTTTGATCGTTGCGTTTCCTTGACATCCTATAATCACGTTGCATATATGGTAGAAAGGAATGAACAGGCTAAGATTGGTCAAGCTTTAAGTGCCTCAATATATGTCACAATATCGCGTTTACCGTAATTTTCGCTAGATGCAGCAAATTTTGAATAATATATATATATCTATTTCTTTTTACTTTACATTCGATATTTAGGTTTAACCCGATAACTCCATCACAAGACCAGTTCAAAACAACGTACTACGTGCTGAACTGATGACGTCAGGTAAGTTTGAACGTTTTAGGCTCGTTTTAACGTGGCCTCTAGAAATGCCTGCCCTGAAAACGTGTCATCCTTGTTTTATAAATGTATTTATATTATTTCTAGGAAAACATAAATTCTGCTATTTTAGGTAATAGAGTGCGGACGTCACCAAAATATTTTTATTACCTTTCGATCCAATATTTTCTGAGAATTGGAAAGCCATGTCGCCCCCCTACTTGAAAGGAGCCGGATTACATGTTGATTCGCTCATTGCTTGAGCACCTATGAAAGGCCCGGGTAACGGGTTAATGAATTACGTTGAGAAAATGTCGCTTTGTCCCAATATCGACAGACTTTCGCTGAACAATGGTCTGGTTACTACAATACGAAACAAAACAAATATGGACATCTGTGCGTAAACGTATATCTTGTGAAGGTACCCGGAAGTTGTTAGAAGGCCTTAGCGACACTAACTTGACGGCCTTCGTTAGGGATGTCTCTTTCCAAGTACTGACACATAGAAAAACGAAATGCATCGTAATTCAATAGTACAAGAGGCCGCCAGCCGGTACACTTTGCCCACTCGTTAGTGCCTCAAAATTCAGCTAAAGTAAACACTACCACAGTAGATGGACCAAGAACTGCATTTTCCGCAGAAGAGAGCAGCCCCAGATAGAACTAGATCCCAAAGCATGCACGCTTGCTGATAGGTTCGTTGAAATACTGCTTTGAAATTAGGCAAATTTCACGTTCTTCTCGCTTGAACCTGGCACCGATGGGCTCGATTCGGGGATCCCATAATCCCAATAACACACTCCGTGAGGTTGCCTCTTGCGGTTAAGTGGAGATGTTTAGGTAGTTACGGATGGGTCAAAACATAACAAAACAAAACAAAAATGTGAGGAGGTACACAGCTCTCTACACTGTACAAAATGTTATATTCCAAATTTAGTTAGGACGCTCGTGCAAATCCATTCCTAAAAAGAGACGGGAACTACAGAAGTTAGGGAGTATAAATCAAGATTTTTGTGATTCAATGACGTCTCTAATTAAGCTTTACTCCATAAATGTACTTACACGGAATATAAAGGCTACCTGCGACTGCCACGCCATGACAAAAACATCCAGACTCTTGGTGGCGAGGCGCCTCTTCCGGATCCCTTGTGCGACTTGCTTTTTCTCGTGAACGTCTTTTCGTCCTGTTTAATCGCCTTATCCGCGTCTTCCTATCTTAACTGCAATCTTGAAACAAACTAATCGAGTTACTATCGTTTTAATGTTTTTTCGGACTTCGTGTAAGATTGCATACCGAGTCCAAGCTTGAAAACGAATTTGTACTCGTTCATATGTCGTAGGAAGCTCAAAAACAAAGCCTGCTCAATTAATTTCACTGCGCGCGTTGTCTTGACACTACATGTAAACTACAACTTAGCCTGATACTGAGCGCTCCGGCCGTTAGCAAACACTTGAGGATTCTGTTGGGTTCAGCGTTGATTTATTTTATTAAAGACCAATACGGAAGTAATTAATTTAGAGCGATTTTATAATAATGCATTAAAAAACACGCGTTATTTCTGAGTTACGATACCTCAGCCTTTTTACCATCTTAAGTTCCTTTATGCTTGGGTGGCGTAGCTTGAACAAGCCGCGTTGACCAATACTATGAAGCCATTGTGACGCCCGAAATTCTTTATTGCTTTGCTTCATAATGAGCCGTCAGCCCTTGATGTGACAAAGAACGTCTTTACATCGAGACAAAAAGGCAACAAAGTGATTCCGTTTTCTTTTTTCGGTATTCGCCTGACAGGCTATGAGGCACTGGCGTTCTTTCTTTTTTTATAATGGACGGGAGCGTTTTCACTTTTGTAAAGAGAAGCTTGTATGCAAAAATATCTGAGTAAGACACGCGAGCAGTTAAGGACTACTTTGTACTCGACCTATGCTTCATCACAGACTTACAGACGCATGTGTGGATGGCTCTGTCTTGAGACGTCCCTGAAGATTTTAGTCGTCATCAGCAACACTGGCGGCGGCCATTTCTTGGGCACAAAACATGCGATTGAATCCGAGACCCCGCCGAACGCAGACGCCACTCTCGTGTCCAATACGTGCACAGGGCGCGTGCCCAAACAATGGCGGACGCGAATGATTGGCGCAGCAGTTACTAGATGGCGCACCCTTTAGAAAACTGTCTGTCATGGACACCGCCAGGGTGACTCGACTTCTCCTCTAAACATGGCAGCATCTTATTCTTTCCAGCTATAAACGTAAGGACAAAAAAAAAAGTACCGATGCAAGGGTTTGTTTTGTAGAATCACGTGCTACGTGGAGTTATCTCTCTAATAAAAAGGCGTTATTTACTCGTTCGTTTTGTTTTTTAAAGAGATTGTCCGGTGTCATCCGGAAGTTACTAAGTTTTTGCGCATGGTCGCGTAGAAAGGAACTAAATACAGTCAGATGTGGTATTTACTTCATTAAAAGGACGACCCAATATTCATTAGATCAATGATGAACATCAATGCAAAACTTCACGCCGAATTTGGCAAGTATGCATGGCCGGTCGTGCCGTGACGTCACATCAGGCATTGTAACGTCGGGTCGTGGGCGTTGATTTATTCCCGTTTTCTTTTTTTTTTTTTTTTTGTCAACATAGTTGATGGTGCGTAGAAAGATAATTGTTGAAGAATTTAGCTTCACTCAAAACCGTAAATCTTGTCTTTCTTAGAACGAAGTTATTTTTCCGAGACAGCAGTCAAAAGCTGAGCTATGTCAAAGCTTCCGCTGTTGCCAAAGAAAATGCTGTGTGTTTTGATGGTGCAACCTGAGCAGTTGGGTTCTGTTTAAAATTGAAGTTCTTGTAACGGGGAGAACAAAAAATTCGAATGTTGTGTGGATGATATGTCTAAAAGCAATGACAATATAATGTAATTGTTTTCTGACAGACAACATTTCACCGGACAATCCTTTTAATGAAAGCTTGTATATTTCGTATTGCCTGAATAAAGAATGACCGCAAAGGCACCAATGGCGAGCGGGTAGATATAACTGGTGATCATGCTGCACGAGCACTCGTGCGGTTGAGTTGCGATAAAGCGCAAGAAGCTCCCGCTTGTAGCCTTTATGGATGGTCCACGTCAAGATGAAAGGAGGGCGAGGAGTCATGTCTGGTACACTGTCCACACAGTAGTCCACCGGTGTTCAATGTGTACTTGGCCTTGTGTTAGGTTTACCAACAAAGATTGCTGTCGTGATCATTTGTCATGGTGCAGTTTGTGGTCTTGCCGTGTTTTAGAAACCAGGCTTCCTTTCAAGTATTTACCACACTGACATCTCGACATGCTGAGAAATTTTTCTTTTGGGTTGCTGCATATAAGCTTCCGTGACCGGGCTTGTATTTATGGTGCGTGGTGGAAGGTTTCCTTCAAATGAAGGAAACTCGATAGTTGGAGGTTAACATTTTTGGCTCAACCCCCGGCGTAACGTACATAGGCACAACTCCCGAAGTCTGTCCCAATTTTAAGGCACGTGCGTAATAAAATAGAGAAGACATAATAAATAACGACATTCCTCACTTTGCAAGAAAGGCACCACATCCACATAGATAGTACATGAGCACTCCGAAGCATCCTGGTATATGAGGGAAAAAAGCACGACAATTCTTCGCAGAAATGAAGTTCAAGTCCGAAAGCTGTCACCAAGTAAGACATGCTTAAGAAAAAAAAACAAAAAAAAACACCATTGTTGGACCACAGTAAAAGTTCAGCAAAATAGTTTTTTTTTTCGTTCCTGACGTTCAAACGCTGGAAACTGTCGTTGACACAGAAACTCTGCAAACGTCTTTGGAGAACTCGGATCTTTTTCACAGGTCTCTTCCATGAAGGAGACAAAATTAGAACAATCCACGATGCGTGCTTAACGAAAACTAGGAATGGTCCCAAAGACACGGCAGTGCCACGAGATTCCCTTCCTGCAGGGGCTAGCTGGCAATCTCGCCATTGGCCTTGCGCATGATCTCCAACTGAATTTCATGTTCCCTCGCCTTCAGTCGAAGCGCAGCGATGCTCGAGCTCCTCCGATCTCCGCTGGGAGGCGATGCCGACGGCGACAAGCTTCCGGTCGTGTTCATACCGGGCGAGACGCTTGACGACGACCTCGCCGGACTGCTGCTCAAGACCGGTCTCTGGGCGGCCGTGGCCGGCAGCGGCGGGGGGACGGACACCATGGCTGGCGCGGGTGGCGGTGGCACTATCGGTAGAGGAGGAGGCACTCTCTGGTGATGCACCAGGGACGGTGGAGAGGGTGGCAGCACCGGCGTTGGTGGCACCGGCACCTCAGACGGCGGCACGATGTCCGTCCGCTGTCGGTTGTGGGCCGACAGGGTGGCCAGCCAGTTCTGGAAAGGCGCCGGCGTCTGGTAGAGTGGCAGCGACGGCGGCAGAAAAGGCCCGAACGGGCTCATGGGGAAGAACGCGTGGCCGGGCGTCAGCAGCGGCATGCCAGTGGCGCCGAGGTACGGCGAGAGGCGGGCATGGTTGAGCAGGGATGCCTCAGCCGACGGAGGCTTTCGGCCATACAGGGAGCCGAAGGCGGCCGCTGCGGCTGCTGCCGCCACCGAGGGTGGCGGGTGGGCACCGGCCATGGTTGGGGTGGACGAGCTAAGGGACTGGGCCGTGGAGTACGGGTTGTAGCCCTGGGACTGGAGGGCGTTGCCCGCAGCCTTCTCTTGCTTGCGCCACTTGGCCCGCCGGTTCTGGAACCAGACCTGCGGTAACGAGAACGAAATGCTTGAGGCTCCACTCCGGGGTCCTTATCGTTTCGTCGACACACATTCCGTGGAAGTATGTTTCGTTGAATACTTTTAATCAACACATGTTTCTTAGATGCTATGACACTTCATGGAAACTAGTTTCGTGGAAACATGCTATTGGAACGTTTCGTCGACAATGTATTATTTTGCTAGGTGGATTGAGTTTAATTTCTGGCTTCATTTTGTTCATTGGAAGCTTACCGGAACTAGCTCCGGTGGTACAGAAACAAATTGGCGAGTCCTATCTTAGGCCTCTAGGCTTGCACAGAGAAAGCGCTAGGTGCATCACCACACGCTTTGCTTCGCTTCGCTTGAGGAAAATTTAATGTAATCCCAGTCCCCAGATTGCGCCAAGCCTCATCAGAACCATCAAGCGGTTGGAAAGGTAGGACACCATCCGGATGGCGGCGACCGAGGCGATGTGTGCGGAAGGACGCTTTCGGCGAAACGTCTCAGGGTGTGTCGATAAAACGATCACAGAAATCTTTCAATGAAATGAATACTGTCGACGAAACATCGTAGTGTCGACAAAACAATCTGTCGATGAAACGTCGTTCAACAAACTGATTGGCACGGCTACGCGAGTATCATCGACAGAATGTACCGCAATGCTGAATTAATTTTTATAGGTACACGAAATAGAACACTTGAAACATCTAGCATGGCGAATATAAATTTTGTCCTTTCATTAAACCTTGTCTTAAAGAGCTCTCTTTGCGATCATTCGCCTCTCTTTAGACAACACATAAAAAGTACACGTGCTTAACTCGCTTACAGTCATCTCTCGAACGTAACAATTTAATCCGGTTAGCCGCTATTGGAACCTCATTAAGACTAACCGAAATGATCATACCTGTCGTCCCGCGCCGTAACCTAGCCTATTGTAACAATAAAGTTGCCATAACAGTTGGTAACCACTGCCGCCATCATGCACGACCGCTCAGTCCTCCGGACACGAATGGACGTACTCATGCAGAGCCCCCGCTCAATGGTCACGCAGCAGCCGGAGCCACCTCTGTGCAGAAAAGTCCCCAAACTCGCGCTGCCTCATCCCTGGTTTGACCCTGGACGACCCTGGCCGTTCATTAAAAGCGGCCGCCCACGTGATGTCCGTTTGGGCGGGCACTGGACTCCGCCGGCCAGATGGCCCCCGGTGCGACTCTCCGCAACCCTTTGGACTTGGGATGATTGTGTTTCCCCCCTCCGGAGCCGCTTCGTTTGCGTGTGTTCCCCCGTGGCGAACACTCCCGTAATTCGCGATGGCGGCGCGCTACAGACGACGCACAACGGGCGTCTGATGAAGCGACTCCGTGGGCGCGGCTCGACGCATGCCCCGTCTCCTCTGTCTGTTTGTTTCGCGAGTTTCGTTCTCTTTCCTTCCAAAGCCCCCCCCCCCCCCCCCTCCGGTTTATTTTTTGTTTCTTACTTCGTCCAGCTGACGTCTGTATCTTGCTGTAGCGGCTCTAGCGGGCGGCAGGTGTTCCCTCTTTGGGCCGCGGGACCTAAATGAAGTAACCGGACTGGGAACCACAGCAAGAGGCTGTTCGTCGCCCCGTCACCCTCTGTCGGTCGCATAAATCGCTGGTGGATTACTTCCCGGGGAAGCTAACAAAGAAAAAACACTCTAACCGCTATTTTTACGTTCGATCATCACGCAACATCACATTCGACCCTGTTTAATGAGGTCCCGACCACTGACAGTTCTAGAAGTACAGAGTCGCCAGTTCCATAGGTGGAAATCCATAGCGAAGGCCCGTATCCAGGGACCTGGGACCCCCCCCCCCCCCCCCCCCCCCGAAATGTTCCATTTTGCTGGGGCCTCATCTCCCCCTCCCCCTCATACAGTATTTTGGGCGCCCCCCCCCCCCCCCCCCCACGAATCGAAATCCTAACCGCATACGAGCCTATAATTGTTCGTAGACTATGCTGGTTCGCTAATAAGTGGGTAATTGACGCCCTCAGCTTTGCAACTGGAAACCGAACAATGCTTGTGCTATCGGAAAAATCTCGCCAAACGGTGTTCACTTTAGCAGAGTGATAGTACTCTAGCTACAAGAGAACCCTTTACCGCAGTGAAGTGTTAACTGCGTTTAAAGATGCTCGTGTATCTACGGATTAGTTGGCAGTAACTGCTCACCATACTTAAATGTAACTCCGGTTTAGGGTGTCCTTTTGACCATAACATAGTGGCGTTTATCAACGTGGTCGCTTGAAACACGTTGGTGCCCAACGATGCAAAAGCGCAGAATGCGGATTGCACGTCTAAAGAGGATCGATTTCCCAGTATGACAGTTCACCGTAGCCAATTGAAAAGTGTAAAAAGAACGCTGGTGTCGACGGTCCTAGATGAGCATCGTATCAGCCTGCGTTCGTGCGATCATCGCTGCGGGAAGCACATTAAAAATGTGAGACGACAAGTAATCAGTCACTAATGATCACTCCTGTTTTATTGTTTTCGAACTGTACCAATATTCGGCTGTTAGAGTCACCGAGAGGAACACCCTGTCACGAAACACAAAAAAACACGACTCCCTTTTCTCCGCCTTAATCGGAAAATTCCGCACATTTCGTTATAGGTTCTCGTATCCCTATTAAAGTAAATAAGACCCGAAGCGTCTCCGTTTACTGCTTCTCCAGTACCGTTTTTCCTGGTCCATTTAATGTACCCAGTAGCATATATAAAAAGAAGTAAATCAAACGTAAAAACTAAGGAACACCAAAGAAACGTAAAATAAGCGTCACAAGCCCTTGGGCTGCGCACACCGATAGAACAGAGGAGGGGGGCGGGGGGGGGGGGGGGGGGCGTAAAACGGACGTCGCCATTTAGCTTATTAATTTCCTTGTGTTCCGTTTTCTTCGCAAGACAGGCGTGAAGCTGCGGGTTTGTTCTACCGCTTACAAACAAGCATTGTTGAGCAGGCAGCCTCGTGGCAAGCAACAATGCCGAGTTTTGTTTGCGTTGCCTGAGGCCCTCCCGCAGCAGCAGCGAGCGAGCAGGCACCGGAAAAAGAGGCAGCTCTGACAACCGAACCGAAACCTTCGGGAAGCTGCAGGCCGGCCGTGAGGGACGCAAACATTAGCCGAACTGGAGCGCTCCCAGCCATTGTACGCGGCCTGAAAACAACTATAGCACGTTTCACCTTAAGATGGACCCTAGAGGACGCTATGAGCCAATCTCAGCCAATCCCTGTGCCGAGTGAGGGCCACGTGACCTGCGGGAGGTGTCTCACCGGCGTAGGCCTGTCCCTCAGAGCGCCGCATTGGGCCGAATGGTTCGTCGTCTGCGGTCCATCGCGAGACACAACGGAGCGTATCAAACACGACGAATACGCTCTGCTCGTTCTGCTCTAGCTTTGTTTGTTCCGAGCAGACGCGTGTGGAAGAGAGAGAGGGAGAGACTGGTTTTTTTGCGCCGCTGCTGGCCTTTGTTTCACGGGGCGCCGGGCAACGGGGGGTGTCAACCTTATTACGGCGCATCTGTTATTACACGCCTCGACATGACACCGGCCCTCGTGTGACGAGATGAAACGCGAGCGAGCGATGCAGTCCAGCGCTTCGCACGCGAGCACACACAGGCACACGGACGTGCAAGGGCACGAACCGAACACACGTTTAACGAGGAAGAGCGGCAGCGGGGAAGGCGTCTCCCGCCAGCAACGTCCACTCTGCTACGGGAACAACGAGCGGCGATTATCTCGTCAGTGGATGGACGTTCGGGATCGGATGAAAGCGGTCTTCGGCGAACGTGAGAAATCTCAAGCGGAGCACCATCGCTGCCGTGTTCGTTCCAAGCGGTAGCGGCACTGACGTCTGCTCATTGCTGCTGTTATTCGAAGGCTCTTCCCTCTTTGATTTAAAAAAAAAAACAAGAATGACTACTTTTTTTTTAAAGGTGACAGCGCATGAGGTTCATTTCTCCCAGTAAACTCTGATTCATTACTTGCATTCTGACTGAAGATGTTTCAGGATGCCTGTATACGAGATATCGACATGGTGCATCGCGAAAACGAGCACTGAATAGAG